CCTGCTGCCCAGTATCTACATCTTAGTATGTTTGCTCTATATTTACACAGTAGAAAGGAATTCTCAGTGAAGGGTCTTGAGGTTACTTAAAGTTTTCTATCGTACATTATTGCATTCTAAGGGGGAATATTGTATATGTCATTGAATTTATGATTTTAGGAGTTTAACAAAGTCACTAGACATTCTCAGGAGTGTTTATAGACTCTGTGTTCATTTCTTATTTCACCAACTACTTACTACACAAAATACTTCTTAATATTAAATATTTTTCATTTCATAGAAACTTGAAAAAGAAGCTCTCTAAACTGACTGTGTTATCTTATTACAGATGGCTTCCTTAGCAGTATCCAATTGGCCTAAGCCCATGCCATTGATTCCATGTCTGTCTTGGTCCACAGCATCTGGTGTCTTCACTACGGTAATTTAACTGCAATTAATATTTAAGTAGCTATATACAATTAAAAGTAATTGCTTTGGGAGTCCCCTAAACCACCCCCAGATTTTGTGATTGACTAGAAGGAATTACAGGACTCAGCATGTAGTCGAACTCAATTAAGACAGCTATAGCAAAAGGATACAGCACAAAATCAAAAAAAGGAGAAAGCACATTAGGCAAAGTCCAGAGGAAACCATGCGCAAGCTTCCAAGAGTCCTCTCCCAGTGGAGTCTCATAGTTCATGCTTAACTTCTCCATTAACAGTTGTGGCAATCAGTGAAGCTTGCCTGAGTCTGGTAGTCCAGGGTTTTTATCAGGGGTCATTGACTTAGGCATCCTTTGCCTAGCATGTACCAAAATGCCAGAAGGAAACCAGGTGTTCAGCAGAAACTACATTGCTTGAACAAACAGTGTAGGCACAGTAACTTTTACCAGTTAGGGAAAGTTTTTTTTCAGTGTAAACAACTGTTTTTGCTGGTTAAATTCCCAGACTACAGTCAAGGGCCAACCTTACAAGCAGGTCTTTCTAAGAATAGATAGTATCATGCCTGCTATGCTAACTCCTTTCTACACAGTAAAAGTAATAAAAGTATTGGGCAAAGTACATTATAGTGTGATTTGATCTTCATTTAGTTTATTATTTCAGGGTGTGTTGAGTAAATCAGTTAATTGGAGGGAGCTGGAAAAGCAGTATTATACACAGACAGTTTATGAAGAAGAAATCATTCACATGCTTGAATACTGTGGAGTAAGTATTTTAATTTCTAAATAATATTGGGGGGAAGAAAGTTGAATGTATACCTAATCCTTCAAATTTTTAAAGAGATAACCAATTTTTAAAAATGTAGTTGTACACACTATTTTACTTTTTAAAAGTCTTCATTTTAATGTAAAACACAGGTACAGAAAATTGTGCAAAGTAGCTGTATATCTTACTACATTTATTAAAAGACAAACATTAATATCGAAGTCACAGCACAAGAAACTCCCCCCCCCCCCCCCCCCCCCACAA